CAGTGATCCTTCAGTGCCAGTTTAGGGAGTGCCTTTGCTTTTGGCTCAAGAATTAACAGATGGATTTTCACAGTGGTGATTTAGCAAAGGTTTGAATAAATGAGGAAGAAATTAAGTCAACTTCAGAGTGGCAGCATTTCAAAACTTGTCGTCTGCAAACTTTTTTTAGTGGCCCTCACCTTCTACTTGCACGCATTTATGAGTTTCAGCGTGAGCTGGCAGTCGTGTCCTTATAGTAGTGATCTTTGTAGCATTATGAAAGCAGCTGGACGAACTCCATTGTGTTCCAGAAAGTAACACACAGACCCATCTCAGGTATTGTATGATACATGGAAAACTGACCATGTCTTGATAGCTTTTATTTTTGTTACTGGCTGAGGTCTGGTAAACTACAATTTGGGGGAGAGAAGTTACTGAGAATGAAGTTCTCAAGCTGGTACTGGTACAAAGCAATACCCTGCTGCCTCTTGCCTTAAAAAAAAAACCCAAACAAACAACAAAAAGCCAACAAAATTTTAAAAAGGCAGTGATATCAACAAGCTATAAACCAGCCTAACATTATTAGCATTCTCTTTCCAAAGCTTACTCACTGAGAAAGAAATGTCATGAAACCCCAGGCTGGCAGCATCGGAATAAAGGCCTGGGTCTCGTGAGCTGTCATGGAGACGGGTTCAAGCGTCTCTGTTCAGCCCGGTGCGGACCGTGCTGTGTGAATCACTAAAAGGCCTGATCCTTGCAAACAGCGTGGTACCTAGGTCATCCCTCTGAACGATGAAGTGGGACAGAAAGAAGACAGATGACAGTTCAAGCTACTTGAAAAATATTTTTCTCGCTTCTCAGATCTTTACTGAGAAAGAGAGATGTGAGAAAGGTATTAAGAACACACGGTCCCTGTTGTTGGAGACTTGCTGCCAGAGCCCAGCTACTTCCTGGGCTGACACAGGTGTGTGCCTGAAGCGTACAGCAGTTCAGACAACCAGGTAAAACCACCTTGTGTAGTGCAGTACGTGGCGAGCTGGCTTGTGTATAAATAGCAACCATATTAATTGTTTATGCGTCGCTGTGGCTTTTGGTGTGTGTTTGTAGTTTTTTAGAACTCCAATTTGAAAACTTCTATTTGAAACTTCCCTATGCATATTTGTGGATATTTACTGTAAGAAAAGAAAATTCTGTACTGTGATGCTAAAAGCTTAATTACCTGACAAAATATTCAACTATTTAAAGTAATCTGGTAGTGTCAAGTTGTATTTTGCTCAACAGACATTGGACGGCCAAGTAGTAGCAGTGTTTAAATCTGAATGGCTGAGTGCGTGTGCAAGAAGAGGACCCTGGGATTCTAGGGAGAATGAATGGGTTGCAAGCTTTGACTCTGCCACATGGAAAACCTTGAAGGGAGTTGTGGGAGGGGGGAGAAGCTTTGTTTAGTTGTTTTGGTAAACTGCCAGTCAGACATACGGTGTAATCCCTGCCCTCCCCTCTTTGAAATGGCATGCTAATATGCCTTCTGGATCTTTGCAACAGTATTTTTAGATTTTTCTAACAAAGGGTGGATTTTCAGCAAACAGACTGTGGATGTATGCAAAGGTATGCTCACAAACCTCATTTTCACTTTCTAGCTCAAGCCTGGCTTCTTATGAGGAAAGGCGTCTGTCCACATGTCTCTTTTTCCCTGGGCTAATGCTAATAGATATCTCTCTTTGGAACTGGGTACATTAACATAGCATACTTGTGCAGATTCCAGGGTACTGTGTATCTACACGCTGTCTGGCCACAAAATATTGTGCACATAATGTCTATTGCACCATGAAGGGACAGAAAATTATTCCAGGGCAGAAATCACCCCTATGAATATTTTGAACAGAGAAATGCTATTTTAAGGTATAGGCTTGATTAATACTAAGCATATTTATTCAAGGCTAGTCTAACGCAGACCTAAATCTATTGAAAGTATAGGCTGCCTGCAACTGCCCTCATTTTAACAGGCTGAAGAAATAATTGGTGGGCCCCTAGAGCCAATAACTGCCGACAGGCTGAGTTGTTGCTGGACCAGCAGCAAAAGAGCAGATGGGATATGAGGAAATCAAAGAAGCACTGGGAGGTACAGGAACTTGCTGCTTGAAGGGTGTACTTTCAGCACTGTACTGTTGACAGTCCTCAGAGTTGGTGATGGATAATGGTACTTCTGGGAGCTTTTCAGCTGTAACTGGATTTGCAGGCAGGTGAACTGAAACAAAATAAGTTTTCAAGTCCTGTGAGGTAAATTGACAGTGGGATAAAAATCCTGGCTTGCAGTTTTATAGCTGCTCTTTTCAGATTCCAGAATGTCCGCTTAGTGTTTCTCGGTTGTGAAGAGACTGTCCAGGCCCTGTCCCTCTGTGTAGAGAGGAAGAAGAAGCTCTCTATGCAAGTTACAACTTTTTTTTTTTTTTTTTAATGTGGTTTCTTTGTACCTCTTCAGCCTTTCATTGAAAGTTACAGTAAAATGGGTTTAGACAACAGACTTAGAGAATATGCTTGAGGAAGGTAACACAACGTACAAGGATTGGTGTGGATGTTCTGGACAGGGCTGAAGGGGAAGAAACTAAATATTGATGGGAGAGTTCCTGTATAAAGGTGGAAGAATAACGTGGAAATAAGAGGGATGAAGAAATCAAATCTCTGAAATGGATTGGAGGAAAATGAAAGGAGTAAAGAAAAAATCGGATCTGAAGAGAGTCATCTTTGGGCTACAGCAGGAGATCAAGAAAATCTTGGTACAGACTGTGTTTTGCGTGGGAGGTAACTGGCTATTGCAGTTATGAAAAGGGCTCGTTCTTGCCAGATTTTTGTTGTTGTAAGTACTGGTAAGAGACACAGCAACAGCTGGCTTTTCAGGAAAAAGCTGGTGAAAAGAGATGCATGATGTGCATCCGTTAGAGGAGGGAGTGGGGGGAAGGCTTTTACACTTAATGTGTCTGGCTTGTGCAGCTCAATAGGCACTTTGGTTTAACAGAGCTGGTGATGATGTTGGGTTGGGTTTCCCGCCCCCTGGCACAGTACATGGACCACAGTATTTTGCTGTCATAAACTTGCTATTTGCAAGCACTGTAGCACCTGATTGCCTTCATATTTTAAGGACTATTTCTGTTCATGGAATAATTTAGGGTGGAGGGGAGTGCTAGAGACCATGTAGTCCAACTTCCTGCTCAAAGCAAGGCCAATGTCAGCTAGATCAGGAGGCTCAGAGCTTTGTCCTGTCAACTTCAGAAAATCTGTAAGAATGGGGATTCCAGCCATTGTAGACAACCTGCCCCTCTGCTTCATCACTTTTGCTGTGAACATTTTGTCCCTTATTTTATTGGAATTTCTCTGGTTACTGCTTTTTCCTTTCTCCACTCCCCTCTAAGAAACATCTGGCTCCATCTTCTCTCTACCTCAGTTAGAGATGGCTGAAGATAGCAATTAGGTCTTCCTTCACCTCTTCAGATTATAAAAATCCCATGTTCCCAGCTTCTCCTGTATCGGGTGCTTCACCCTCCTCATCCCTGACTCCAGACCTTCATCTCACGCCCCTGGGACTTGCTTCAGTTTATTGGTGCCTTACTTCTACTGAGAGGGCCCCAAAAGCAGACACAGTGGTGCAGGTACAGCCCCACAAATGTCCAACGGAGGGGAACGATCACTTCCTTTGAACTGCTGGCTGCTGCAGTTTGCCCTTCACAGAGCTGATTCCCTTTGAGGTCTCTGCATTAGCCTATAACCAGCAGGTGAAAGTATTCCAAAGCAGCTCTATTTCCATGTGATGAGCAGTTTATACGTATTTTGTAAGAAATACTTGATGTGAAGATTCAACCTGTTTATTATGACTAAAAATGTGGGATAGAAAATGATTGCTCTGTTAGTTCTGCATGTACTAACAGGAAATTAACTGTGGAGTTGTGCACTGTAAACAGGTAGAGCTCCTCCTGAAGAGCCGGCTGTTTGCTGGCTTGCTTAGTGCTGAAACTGGTGAAACATTGGAGCTCTGTTTGTAAATTACTGGTTTTGTTGGGGTTTTTTGCAATGCTTAGGAAAAAAATGTTTTTGTTGGAAGGAATGTGTCTTTTTATGTGACTCAGGCATGGAGGAAATGCAGGATATTAAAGGAAAAGTAAACTATTTCTTCCTGAATATTAGAAATAAATTGAAGCTTTGCGTAAGTTTATTACTACAGTGTATGCTTTGGAAATCATGCTCTGAGCTCTATTTCAAGAGATGCATCTTTCTATATGAAGACTAAATTTAGCATTCTGGTTACCAAATAACTTAATAATTTAAAATAGAGCTTTTTGAAAAGTTGTATTGAGTATTTCTTGCTCCTCTGTAGCTCAATGCTCTTTAAAGATGATGAGGTTGGAATTGGTACCTGCATGGGCAGCATGTATGTTACGTGCATTATGTGCATTAGATGCCTAGAATACACTTGAGTAACATAGGTACTCCTGTTGGTGTGGATATGTTTGTGTGCTTTAAAATACCTGTGTTAATTTCGTGTTTGTGTGTTACTACTCCCATTATCAACTTAGCAGTAAGGATTCTAGTTTAATTTGAAAGTGAAGGATCTCTTTGGCTGATCTTATTTATTTTTTTGTTCATGTGTACAGCAGAGATACTAAAAGACGTGAGTAAACCATATTGTTTGACACTTCAGCTGCACGGATCTGAACCGAACAAGACAATGACATTTCTGTGTAGTAAGAGTAATTTTCTTCTGAGGATCTTAATGCTGTATGAATACCAAGCTGCTTGGCAGATCTTGGGAGACTGAACAGTAGCGCACAATGTTTTGCTTGGGAGTGGGCTGATAAAGCAGGCACTCAGCTGCTCTGGGAGCCTGTGTGTCTTTCCCTCAACTGTGAGGCTGCACAACCTGGAAATGGAAGTAGATTTTGGGTAAGAGGGGTGCAAGAGGGTATTCTTTCCCTGCATGCCAAGCCATTATGTGTTCCCCAGTGTGAATGTATCTCTCTATATCCAACAATACCTTCATAATGCTAAAGACAGCCTAGGAAAGTCCACGTCTCACTGTAAAGTGCCTGAACCACTGAGGGCATTGGAAGTGTGGTTGATAAACTGTCAGATTATAGGCTAATGCTTAATTCCTGTCTCTGTAAGGTGGGATCCCGACACTGGCATTCTTTGTTAGGTGCTCTGGCATTCTACAGAAGACGTTTGGGTTTATATGTATGTATAAAATATATATATGAATGGGATATCCTTCCCATTTCACGAGACCATGTCCTACGCTGTTACTCCAATCTACTGAACGCTGCATTTATGTCAGAAGGACAGAGCTAGCTGTATTAAGTTTGATCAACCCTTGGCTGAATAAAGGAAGCTGTTAGGTTAGGAGATAAAATAAAAGTTCATATGTACACCCACAAACGAGCATGGGAAACAAAGGCAGAGGAGGGTGGGGGAAGCTAAAATAATACCCTGCCCCAGCCGCTCCCAGGCCTGTCACAGCAGCCAGCAGCCCATCAAGGCCCATCTGCACAGGACCAGGGACACAGAGGCAGGTGGGGGACTCGGACAAGGGGACACCCTGCCCGGCCCCCTCCCCGGGCTCTCCCGGGAGAGGCTCAGCCCCCGCTGTCCAGGCAGGAAGCCCCTCGCGTTGAGCTAACGCCAGAGCAGCTTTTGGGCCCAGGGAGTTGCTGCATAGCACGGAGACACATCGTGGGGTGCAGGGGAAGAGGCTTAATATGGGTTGTTTGGGGGAGGAAATAAAGGTGGAGGAAAAGATGAATTTAGGTGATTTGGGGAGGAACAAGCATGGGGAAAAATAGAGAGCTAAGGGGATAAAAAGGCCAGCTAGGTATAAACGGTTTGCAGGTTGGTACATTGGTCTGGCCATGCCCTGTTCTTAATCAGTGCAGTCTATTGTATCTTTGTATTGCACTACTTTCTAACTCTTCCCCGGGTGAAGGGGTGTGGGGAAGGGGGGTCTGAGTGCCAGCAG